CTCGAATCCTTCACAATAACCGTTCGTCCCGTTCCTCCTCATACTGTCTCCTCTCCTCAAGTCTCTGCTGCCGCCGTCGTTCTTTCTCCAGTCTTACCTTCTCCTCCCTTCTCTGTTTTAACTTCCTTGCTTCCTTCTCCATTCTCTCCTTCCATTCCTGGGCCATTTGCAAGAAGTACTCGCGCATCATAGCGTTTGCCTCGTCGCTATCCACGCGAGGGGTAGCGCTATCCGCCGAGTGACTTCGTCTCTCTGTTCCAGTTGCCATAGTCCTCCCGCTTCTGGACTGATTCGGTGGAGGTGGTGGAACAAAGGGGACGACACGCGCTTTTGCTTGCCAGTACTCGGGGCACATGCTGGCAAAATGATCAGCTTCGCCACACTTGTAGCACGATTTTCCTGCCAGTGGATTAAAGTTGCTCTGCGGTTCACTTCCGGATCCACTGCTCCCGCCGGATCCTACCGTCGCACCTTCGTTAGCCATCTTCACTGTCCCGCCTGTCCAGGAAAGCTGGATCCTCCTCTTGTGGTCTTCTTCCCTTTCAATCGTCTTCTTTCAACGTTGTCCGCCACCCCCTCTAGGTATAATCTCCCAATAGGTTACGGATCTTTCTTGCAGAAAAGCAAGTCGAACAGCATCACGAAGGTAGACAAAAACACGACAATTTTTGCATACTTGGTAACAACTGTCGTGAGTATCATAGCACTCGAAAACAATACGCGATCCACCATTCTTGCCACAATACCCAGGACCGCCATACACGCCAACTTTCATATCGCGCTCCCCAAGAGGGGAAACAAGGGTGGGGCCCGACGATAGCCAGACTTTTATCCCAACAGTATCGCTTCGGTACGGACACTTTCAATGTTCGTGATAATTCTGCGGTTTCCCGCCTTCGCCGATCATAACCAGTCCAATGCGACACCAGTTCGAAACCCAAGTCTCTGTCCCTCTTATCGTCTGGTACTAAAAAATAATTTTATCTAAACAAAAACTAAACTTAATTCTGGTTCATTAGAAGCTCCGGTATACGGACAAACAGACACTGCAAAGAACAGCAAACAAACAAAACAAACAACCGAAGGCTCATGGTTCAAACCTCGCCTCCGTCGACCCGTACAGGAAAAGCGAAAAGGGAAAAAAACAAAAAAACGACACTAGTTTACTGTTTATTAGTACTATCGTGGGCCTGACCCTGGTCACAAAACAACATTCAAAAACAAATAATAATATTTGGGTGCCAAAATAATGTTTTGCGAGTTCCGAACCCCTTCAAGTTCGGGCCCCGTACGGGGACCCGAACGCCCGAACGTTCGGCCTGACAACCCTGATTTAGACAAAATATAATATTAAATTGGCATTTCGGACAATGTAGGAAGCCTATCTTTCCAGTCATGTAAGGTCATGTGGGGGTGTGTTATATTCGAGGGAATGACTAAACTGTAATTTTAAACTATTTTTATGACTATACTAAAGTTACCCCTTAAAAAAAAAATCATTTGCAGGCAGTTTAGTATATCAAATGTATAATTTATTTATTCCGGTTAGGTAAGGTTACGTGGGGGTGTGTTATGTTCGGGGGAATGACCAAATTGTATTTCAAACTATTTTTGTGATTGTACTAAAGTTACCCCTTTAAAATAAAATGAATAATATGCACACAGTTTAGTACATCAAAGACACAATTTCGTTATACATTGTCACAAACAAAATTTTGAAGGTAAAATGAAAAACAAAAACAAAATCCGTTAAACTTCGTTGACATTAATTGTATAATAGAGGAAAGATAATCAATCTTATGAAAAAAAATATACATGGTATAGATACAAGATATTCCCGTGACAATCACTATATCACTGAAACCAATATTCAAGCCTGCGTAGCACCGTGTTCGCTTTCGGAGGCAAACACGAACATGTTCGTCTGAACGTGAAAAAGCACCAAAAACCCTCCAAACGCAAACATTAAAAAAAAAAAAAAAAAAAAAAAAATCATAAAATTCTGAAAAAAATTATGTAAAATATTAATACAAGCAACTTTTCCCTTTGAGTCTTTTTTTTTTTTTTTTTTTTTTTACGAATATGTTCGCGAGTTGTTCCCGCGAACATGAAGGGGCGTGAACACGTTCGCCGTGCTACGCAGATTCGAACTAATAATGAATCCATTTGATATAAAAATACGAGGACTTAAACCCTAAAGATGGGGGACCTTGCTCCACTACTCAACAACGCTCATGTATCTTGACCGGTTTTTTGACTAAAAATAAAATTGTCCGATTGAATACTTTGAATGTATTGAGACCATTACCAACTCTATATATGTTTAAAATGTTGTATAGAGGAGCTAGGGGCAAGTCTTCATTTATTCCATCATCATCAATCTTCGTAATTCACTATTTAAAGCTCCTTTAGTGAGGCCTATAAAAAAATGAAATAGTATGATTAACTTGAAAAATCAAAGCGATAAATATAAATGATTGAGAAAATTGACGAGAAATGTAAAAAGAATTTCGAGTTTTTATTCTCATTTGTTGACGAAAATATAAAATTGTTTGTTTGTTCACAAAATATTTGAGTGAATGGAGCCAAAGGCTGAATTTGACGTCATAATCCAAAAGATTCACTTGTGCAAATACAACATGCGAAAATGGTATACAATAAAATGAAAGATGGTAAAAATAGCAAAATAAAAGACAAAACATTGTAAATCATATCCATGAAACACAGTTAAATACAACTCACACTGAGAAACGTAAAACATGTAAGAGTAAAGTCCATATACAGCTACATGAAGTCGCATTCCGACAACTGCTAAACAATTGTTATTGGGGGATTCATCATCAATCATCGCCACAGACTTCTAATCCATGCAGACTTTCACTAATAACTTTAATTGACGATATCTATCACATGAATACAAGAGATGCTAAGGGCGTTATGTAAGAGGTCGAAACCTTTGAATCAAACATATGTAGGCAATTGGCCCAAAGTTAGTCAATGTAGTAGCAGGGTACCGGTACTTACTAACGAATAGTTACTGTCCTTCGCAAAAGTTTCGAAAAACTATCTTAACGTGGGTTACGGTAATGGTCCAAAGTAAAAGAAAAAAATTCAACTATTCTTATAATTAAAACTTAAAATTTGAACACATGAATCCACAACAATAATTCAAGATTTTTGACCTACTCATAGGGTCGCTCTCATAGTGAGGATATTTTGTCAGTTTTAGTCGTTGCGGTTAACTCATAAAGGAATCCATTGCAGAGGCTCAACGATTTATTTCAGTCGTTTTGTATTGCAGAAGTAAGACCCCAATAATACATTTTAATCAACATTTGAATACTATATTTGAACCAAAAACCCGTAAGGGGTTTGTGTTCATTAAGACTACGTAATACATTGACACAACAACCAATACTAATGTTGTATATACTTGGAAGTTAAGGAGTCGCGTGCCCCACAACATAACCATCACACCAAAATAATACATGGGGTGAAAGTAAGTTAGAATAAATATTAGTCGTGTGCGGTTAAATATTAATCATAGTTCACTCAACGTTGGGGTGCTTTTCAAAGTTGAAGATCAACACCCCAAGTAACAATTAATGTACAAGTATAATTTAGGTATTTAGTTGCACGTACCCCAATTACTTTAGCGTGTGAGAAACGACCTCGATTAATCAACCTTTGGTGCATCATGTAAAAATTGTCATATATGGATTGATAGCTCGACGGGAATACGTCAAACTTAGAATGCTGATAGTTCTTTAGATGGAGGTAATTTGTACCTCGTGGAACCATTTCATGCTACGGGGGTGGTGAAAGGTACAACCGACGCAATTGAAGCCGCAAAACTCCATATGATCCACACGACTCGGATCTATGAACATTGGTATGATATGGCTGAAAGGGTTATCGTGTCATTTTTTGTGCATGTGGGATGATACACTTGACGTTGCGTTCACTGCCTAGACCAAAATGAGCGCAACAGAAACCAACACGACCACATTTCGGTCCCACAAATGACTCTATGTGAGAATCCACCTCTGTAAGGTAAGCATTAAATCAGGATCACTGTTTCCATCTCCTAGAGATGGCATATGACAATCATAGCCACAACCATCGTTGTTACAATACCGCTCCTCCACCAATGACCATGATCGCCTCATATCTCTACGGTGGATGCATTCCTTTCTATCAGGTTGACCCAAATGGGATTCAAGTTCGTGATGTGGCAAATAGGAAGGAAGGTAGAGGAGGGAAGTCCCACCATTCCTGCTCAAAACAACCACCATGGATTTGATGATGGACCGGCCAGCACGCCATGGACCAAATGCCTACTGCATGAACCGAATACCAACGTCATATGAACCAAACATCCGTCACTTCTCGCCTGGAATGCAGGAACCACTCCTCGCCTGCCAAGCGTGTTCACCGTCCCTCGCGCCTGGCCGGCCGTTCTGCAAATCTCAGCGAGCCCCCTTCAGCTCGGTGTTCCTGTGGGGCCTGGCTAGATGTGGGGTGGAGAAAATAGAGCTCCGCTGGACCTGGAATGCTCCAGGGCATCTTGTTGGTGGTGTTTGAGAATTCTCTCAAGGGCCCCCTTTCGCCCCATAAGATTGCTGAAAGACGCCCCAGGGCTTGGTCCCAATTGCGCGGATTAAGAGACCCCGACCGTCGATCTTCGTTATGCACGGCCGCTTCTCTCAATCCAGGCAAGTGGGACCCCTTACCCCTGGAGTCCAACAACCCCGACCCCTCGCCGATTCGACAGTGTTGGTTGGCGAAGGAGGGGGCTGCACCTCGAAATTTATTTCACCTATCCAAGAAAAAAACCCACCCATTTTAGTTTAGGCAGCGGTGTGGCGAGGCCCTAAGTGCATCAGCTCTTCAAGGCTGTCATCCGCTTCTACACCTAACCTGCGCAAAAGCAGGTGGGACCCGGCCCACGGCCCACGGGCTAACGGGAAAGCGGGAAAGCGGGAAGACGGCCGCTACGAGTGCAGGAGGGAGAGGGGAGGGTGTGCTTCAATTCCCTCGATCTGTCATTTGTCCTCTCTGATGCAGCGAGCTTACCTCTGAGTTGTGCTATGTCATCCACTTTCATGGTTGTAGGAGTCTATTGAAAGGTTGAATTAGAGGGAGTTCGAAAAGATCGCAGAGTTGAACTGGAGCGAATCGCGCGCAAACGTAGTGAGAGGTAACTCTCTCTCTCTCTCTCTCTCTCTC